CGAAAGGGAAAGCAGACCGATCTGGTGATCGGCGTGACGTGATGCCGCCGGCTCTTCAGAAGGTTCTCAGCGTTTCCTCGGCCACCCTCAGAGGTCCTTACTCACTAAATCTGCCATTCCAGTGGCATTTATTGTCACAGGATTGAAGCTAAAGTTTCGTGGACTATTTTGCAAGTTTCAAGGTTGTAATTGAACCTGAATATTTTCTGAAAAGTTAAAAAAACCTTTCAAGAATTGAAGATAAGCAAGGCCGTTTATTACAGTGGTGAAGCACATTTGCCCTTGGGGCTCTGAGGGACCGGGGCACAGTCCTTGCCTTGTCATTTCCTGATCGTGTGATGTTGGGTGAGGGGCTCGATCCTTCTGAGCCTTGGACCGTGACTAGAGAGTTGAGTAATGGCAGCAAGTGCTTGGTGGCTTTGCCCAGATGTCAGAGCGTGTGGTGAGAGCTGCATGCGATGCGGTCCTCGTCCACTCCGCCCGTCAGCGAACGTTGGTTCTGTGCCTCTGTGCCCACGGCTGGTCCTTGTCCTGGGCGGGCGGGCGTTTAGCGCCCTGAGGAAAGTTGCAGTGGGGTGCCTGAGGCTCTGGCGCTGAGTAGTGGGAGAGGCCAGCGGGGCGAGCGTCAGACCTGTGGGTTCAGGGGCCGAGCCCACGCGGCCAGGAGGGCTCACTGCGTGAACGTGGGTATCCAGCATTGGTAGCTCTGCTTGGAAGTGAATTTGGACTTTTTGAGCGTGGGAGGGGACGTCAATCGGCCGCATTCTACATGCTGGCGAACGAGGTGGAATGGCAAGGGTTTTGCTGGCTCTCGTTACGTGTCAGAGCCAGGGTGGTTGCGCAGACGGTTTTGTGTCCAGGAGAGCAGTCCTGACTGGGAGCGGGCTGCCTTGACCGCGTTGCGCAGGGCTGGGGCGGCGGGCAGGGTGTCCGCGTGCTTCCCGCTGACCACCTGCTTCCTTGGGCCTTTGCGGTCCTCCTGCTCCACCTCTTCGCATCCCGTGTTTCCGTCAGATGAAGTGCCTGTAGCCGAGAGCCCTGGTGAGCTTTAGAAGCCTCCATACTGATATGGGTGTTAGAAATTTAAGAAAATACCGCTTGGGCTTTCATGCCTCTCCTGCTGCGGGAGGTGCTTGTGCAGCAAATGTATTTAAAACATTCGCAGGCGCGCATGTGCACGTGTGTGTGTGTGTGTGTGCGCGTGTGTGTGTGTGCGTGTGCGTGTGTGTCTGTGTGTGTGTGTGTGTTTGAGTAAAGGCTACGTTTCCACACAGCTTGCAAATATTTTCTTCCAGAGGTTTGTTTCTTGCCAAAAATCTAAAATTTTAATATACAGCTCAATTTTTTTCTTTGATCTAATATGTTGGTCTCATTTTTTCTGTCAGTTTATTTTCTTAAGTCTTAAGAAATAGCTTAGTCTAGGATATAGACTTTTCTGTGAATCTCAGCTGAATGGTTTCACTTGGCTGTTAAATGAGTTATGTTGTTGGTTTTCCTAATTTTGGCTGTATGTGTTCACCTCAGGTAAAGATTTTTCTAGTGGACAAGCTTTCGGACAAAAGTTTATTATTCCTCAAAGATATCATTAAATTTAATTTAGTCTATAATACTTTATTGCTTTTGAAACCACTTTCTGTTTCTATAATATGATCATGATGCTTTAAAATCTTAGCATAAATTCGAAGAATGATTTCAGCCTAGGCCATTCTGGCAGCTTGGCCTTTAATATGGCAAAGAGTCTAGAATCATTTAGTCGCAAACACGTAATTTTCTTAAACAGTGCTATCAGACATTTGTATGACTTCCAAGTTTATTATGAAATAGTCTTTAAAAATATTTACTTCGAGCAGAAGCGTATCTAGATGATAACTTAATGTAACTGGAGTGCACACCAGAACAACACACTGGTTTTTGGAAAACGCTTCATGAGTTTTCAGGTAGATTATTTTAACCGAATGATTATTCCTGAGCTCTTAATGATACAAGGCTCTGGGCAGGTTTGTTTGTTTTAAAGTGGACGTACGTCCACTGGACGCAGAACGTCTCAAGTACTGATGGCCTGCAGATGTCTTGACCGTGTCGTTCAGACACAGGCCGTGGCCATCCTTTCCTTTTTTAGCGATGTGACTGAGGACTTCACCCAGCTGCCGCTGCTTGGGAGTGTGAGTGCCATCGAAGGCCCAGCCTGGAGGGGCCGCCCTGTGGCGAGTGGTTAAAGCAGCCCCCTGAAAAGAGCCAGCGCTTTCAAGGACCCTGCCTCCCTTCTCCCGCAGCCACTTACCATTTGATAATCTTGACAAAGCAAATAGGAATGGAGCAACACTTTTTCTTTCTAGGGACCCTAATCACCAGATGAGCAGAACGATATTCTTCATTTTACTCTTTTTCATCTCTTTTCTGTTCCCAAACACACACTCTTTACATCTACCTCATTTAAATATCACCGCTACAAAAACAGCAGTGGATTTCTTTTTTCTTTTTTTTCTTTTTCTTTTCTTTTCTTTTTCTTTTTTTTCTTTTTTACAAAAGATCAGTGTTTTAGGTATGGTGTGGATTTCTTTAGAGTTGATTCCCACCAGTCAACTCATTCTGAAATGACACCTTTCTAGACACCTCTCTCGGATGCGTGAGACTGTAAAACAGCTTAATGACGCCACTGCTAAGGTAGTAAACTTGACGTCTGGTGTCCTGGGAGAACTTAGTCATCTCTCCGGAACGAGAGGGAATAGTTCCTTTAATTAACCATAATTAATAGAAAAGTTTTACTACGACTCTGCAAACAGAAACACTAGCTGAACGTTTTGAGGAAAGATCCACGGTGTCTTTTCTTCGAGGGGCCTTCCTTTGCGTCAGGTACGGAATCAAAGCCACTTCCTTTTCTCTGCGGGACCCGGCGTGCCCAGGCGTCTCTCTCTGCCTGCACCTTCTACTGTCCTCATGTCCCTGCTGCAGCCACACTGGCCTCCTGTCTTTTCCATCAGCACGCTGAGTCCATTTCTGCCTCAGGACCTTGCAGTGGTCAGTCCGTCTGCTGAAATATTCTTCCCACCTTGTCTCCCCCGGGGTTCCTCCTTTTTGTCACTCTTCCTCCTTTTTGTCACTCAAGCCCCGGGGCAAATATCCTCTCTGAAGACTTGTCTGAAGCAGCTACTCAGCCACGTTGTGTTTCTTTCGGAGCAGCACATACTCGTAGGTGGGATTATCCTGTGTGTTTGTTTTCCTGTTTATTTTTTGACCTCCCCTGGAATATACCCCAGGAGGGCAGCGACTTTTTGGTGTCAGTTTTGATCATTGCTGTACTCAGCGCCTCTGCAGTAAGTCCTTGAAAAAATTTGTGAAGCAAATGAATAAAGGTTAGTGAAGTTCAAAGGAAACAGCCCTTCTTGATGGGTTATTTTCTCATGCAGTTTAACCCTCCTGACTCTAGGAGCAGCTCTGAGGTGTTCCCGGTGAGAAACGGGGGGAGTGCAGTGGCAACTGCTTTTGTGCTGGCGTCACCCCAAGGCAGGCGCTCGTTACCGAGCACACCAGCCTGTTTTTCAGGTTGCTGGCAGTTCAGTGGCTGGCAGAGCTTCCGGGGGAACAATCTGCCACCCTGCCTGAGTGCTTACGTGTGCTTATGTCGCTCGGCTTCTTGGCAGGTGGATGCGATCAGCCCCCTGACCGGCGTTCAGGAGAATGCCGGAGTCCTCGCCTGTGAAGAGCCCCGCTGTGCTTACCGAGCACACCAGCCTGTTTTTCAGGTTGCTGGCAGTTCAGTGGCTGGCAGAGCTTCCGGGGGAACAATCTGCCACCCTGCCTGAGTGCTTACGTGTGCTTATGTCGCTCGGCTTCTTGGCAGGTGGATGCGATCAGCCCCCTGACTGGCGTTCAGGAGAATGCCGGAGTCCTCGCCTGTGAAGAGCCCCGCTGTGGGATTCCTTCACTGACGGATAGGCTAGTGGGGAGACTTCTTCCAGGTGGGAGGGCGTGTCGCCTGGTGTTCCCTGCCTAACACAGCCATTGCCCCGATGCCCAGTGGAAGGCAGCTCTGGGGAGTGCTTTCAGTTGTCCAGGTGGCACTCCTCGGGTAGAAAACGCCTGATAACGCCGGTGTGCTGACCTCAAGGCCTCGCCCCGGGCGCGCCACCACCCCTGGCCTGGCCAAGCCCTAGCGATTCTGTTAATTTCTCTCCCTTCCTTTCAGCGATTCGGTTGAGTTAACACAGTATCTGCATTTTGCAGGGAACGTTTTAGTCACAGTCCTCATTTCCTGTCTGTGCCCTGGCTGAGGAAATGACCCCCGGCTTACAAAACAGACAAAGCTTACTCCCCCATCAGAGTGGAGAATCGAGAATAATTGTTTTGACAGAAGTGACAAACCATTATTTTGTCCCTAGTATGCAGATGGATTCATTAACAGTTACTCAATAGCTACTTTGCCAGAGTTTTGAACAGACAATGGGTTTTCATGCACGTGAAATGCTTGTCACAGTGGGTCAACCTAAAATAAGAGTCTGATTTCGAATCAGATAGTTGACTCACCGCACACCTTCATCTTGTCAGTTCCATCTGAACCGTGGCTGTAAATTACAAGGTGAAACCAGAAGTACAACTGCCTTTCATGCCACAACTAGTTTTTCAATAAGATAAAGTGAAAAACATCCCTTTTGGCTTTTCGACATTCTGGTGTGATTGGAATGGTTACTATCTTATATTTAACGTGATTCTTGAGCAATTACTTACCTGAGTAGCTATTCTTAAATTAACGGTAGGATTTTAAGAATTTTGGTGATTGTTAAGTCTCGAGGTGGCCTCAGGGTGGATGGAACCAGCACAAGGTGGCATTTAGTGGTTTCTGCCCTGCCTTCTATTCACCTTAACACAGTTGACTTTTTAGTATTTTTGGCTAATGAAAGTTGTGATGGTTTTAAGCAAATGTGGCTTGAATGTAAAACTAGAGAGAAGTTTAATTATTGGCAAATCAGCGATGGTGATGAATTGTTTTTCTTCCTTTTTAGTTACACATGGGAAGCTTTTGATACCAACAATCACGTGCTGTATAAAATCAGCGTCTGTGGGAACGTGGATGTTGCCCAGTGTGGGGCGTCGAGTGCTGTTTGTATGCACGACTTGAAGACAAACAGCTATCGTTCTGTGGGTAAGTAAATCTGTCCTTGAATTACCGAATGTACAGGACCCCTGTTTTGCAAGAACGATTATCTGTATATAGCTCTCTACAGTTATATTTGCTTATAATACGTAACACGCATGTTACGTTTTATAATAGTTCAATGTGGTAACAGTTGAAACGTTCACTATGAGATTGAATTATGTTCCTTCCATCCAGCGGATAGGAAGAATTATGCACGTTTGTGTTTATTGATATAGAAGGACGTTTCCTATATGGCTCTGCCTTTTCCTGTTGTTCTTAAACCCCGTCTTTACTTTTCTCCCTCCTACACCCCCATTTCCTCTAGTGTCCAGTCTCTTCCCCCTCATAACATTGTTTTCTTCTGTGGTCATTTGATTCTCAGGCAGCCTGTGGTCACATGGGGTCAAGGTGGTCATTGGTTTTAGGCTCACATCAAAATTAAATGATCCTAAGGGCAGCCCCAGGGGAAAAAGGCGCAGACCTTGCTTTCCTAGGGCTCATTTTATTTCCCCATGGGGTCTCCTTTCGGGCCGGGATCCCTTTCCTCTGAGTCCGAGTGGGCTGACAGCCCCGCCAAGTGACAAGGAGCGGGAGGGGGCACTGCCTGAGTGAAGGGACGTGGGGCAGACATAAAGGCCGCCAGCGCCGTTCTCGGATTGGGCAGCATGGGTGTCCACTGCGACCTTTGACCAAGGCAGTTTGCCGAAGTCTCATGGTGAGGGCCAGGCATGAGATGGAGATGGTGTGTGACCGGGACGGAGCGGCAGCAAGAAGCGGATGTGACGTAGGATTTTGGCGTTGGGGGGACTGCTTACTGTGTTAGTTCTGCCTGTCATTTTGAATGGAAACTCCTAACACAGTTAAAAGAGCTTTTCAGCAAGCAGTGTGAGAGGAGTAAGGTCTTCAGGGTCTGCTGGTTGAGGCCCAGCTCCTGCTTGGTTTCCCTCTCTCCCACCGAGGAGACTGTCGGGCTGAAAACATGGTAAGAGGGATTTGCGGCCCAGGATAGAGATCTGAGGACGCACCAGGTTGTTCTGAACTCTCGGGTCAGACAAATTTATTATTTTGTGATGTACTTAAAAAACTTGCAAATGAGATTGCCATTTTCCTGATTGGGACCTTTCGATGGTTCATGGAGAGAGGCCACACGTGGATCTGTCAGACAGTGTTACTCAGGTTTTCAGAAAGAGGAGTTGTTTTCTTCTTGACCTTATTGTAATACTTGACTGTAGTATTTTTGGCTAATGAAAATGTGTCTTCTAGTTTATGATAGTTTAGTGTAGATTCATGTAACACAGGTACCAGAAGCAGGCAAGTCAGTAGGAAGATGATCTGTGAGGTTGGCATAGCTGTACAAAATTTGCGAATGACCAAGTTAGATAGGCTTTGAAAGCCAGGCAGGAGAGTTGACATATTCTGGGGTAGGTAGTGGATCCATTTGAGATGTTTTGTGATGGTAATGGGGAGGTGATCTGATAAAATGTGTTTTTAGAAAGCTGGGCCCAGTGGAATAACAAAGGTTGGTTAAAGGGTCTTGAGAAGCTGAAGGTAACTACATGAGTTAAAAGCTAAGTTACAGGTTGATGATGATAGAAACCAGCAGTTCCCAATCTCATTTTACTCGCAGGCATGCGTGACAGATACTTTTCCCAGAGCTTCAAACTCCCTAAGGGAGAGAAGAATGCTAGGTGATGTGTACTTTCAGCCCTAGCAATGATTACCCTGTCCTTCAGCTCAAGAAAGCAAACTAGTGTGAGTGGATGAAAGTGACGTTCACATTAGTACAGACGTCATCTTGAATCAGCTCTCATTTTGCTAATTTGTGTTATGCAATAGAAATAACTAAATTTGTCATACATTTTCTTTTATAACTAAATAATAACTAAGTTTCTTGTGCACTTATGTGACAGGCATTATGTTTTTAAGTAAAGCATCTCACCGATTTTATTCAACAACTTTTGAAGTGGGTGATATTCATCATTTCCCTCACTTTATAAATGAAGACACTGAGGACAGAATGGGTCAGCTGCTTGGCCAGAGGTTGCGTGATTGTGAGTTTGAATGCCAGCAGGCCAGCTCCAGAGTCTGTGTGCTTATCTGGGGCTGTGTTGTTTTGAGAGTCACAGAGGCACATCAGACAGTTGTAGAGCTAAAATGGGAACCATGGCGAGAAAGTTGAACTCCCGAGAAATTAACTTCTTATGAACCGACTAGCAAGGAAAAAAAAATAGGAATTTTGAGAACAGCCACAAAAACTGGAGCTCCCAGTAAATCAGAGGAACAGGAGAGCTAGCATGGCAGCAGATCCAAATGCATATGAACTTACTGTAGGACCAAGAGTTCGGGTGTAATTTAGGTGTTTATCTGTTAGCAAACAGTATCAGACCTCTCCTTCATATCATATGACAGAAATTACAGACCAGTTACAATGAAAAGGGAAGAGACAATAGGACATTCAGAACAAACCTATGTAAAATAGAAATATAATCTAGAGGAGGTAAGAGCTTCTCTTAGATGATAATACAACGCAGGAGAAAAATGGCAGTCTAAGAACAGGCAGTCCACAAAGAGGAAATCCTGATGGTCAGTGCAACTTCATTAGTGAGCCAGGTGTAAATGCAAGTCAGAGCAATAATGAAATCTCGTTTTTCTTCAGTCAGATTGGCAGAAGTTAGATGGTTGCATCATAGACTGTTGGCGAGGAGCCTTGAAATGGGCATATTCATATATGTTGCTATAGGAGGATGGTCATCTGCAATCCTTTAGGAAAATAATTGATGCAAGTTTTATAGTGCCTACAAAAGCATTTTTTATACTTAGAAACGAATATTAAAACCTAAACTTTGGTTTAAATAATATGACATTATTTTTGATAAAAAAAAATCATACATTAGTTCTTCCTTAGACAAATGATATTGTTACATATATAGATCTGTAGCAGAGTTTAGCAGTCATTTTTATTGGGCCTGTGAACAAGATTTGGTTCCATTTACAACCTAGCTGAATCATCACCACATTTTAAAATGATTTATACATTTTATATATTTGATTTCCTCTCACAGTACTTCAGATGTGTGATCTGACAATGAAAACTTAAGCAGTAATAAAAACTTAACACATTACACTTACATTTAATACTTTAAACTTATAAATTTGATGAACCTGAAATTCTTAGATGTTCTCATCCTGTGTCACAGTCTAAATCAGATGCTCAGTTGTAACCTTTGAATTGGTTATAACGTTAAACATTGCAAGTCTGTAAAAATACTGAATATGTTCAAATTCCCCCTGACATCCTAAATATGAATATTATGGTTTTAATTTAATCTGAGGGTTAAAAGCTGTATATACACGACAGGAACCCTGTTACCAGCCCTTTTGAGGCAATGTGCCCGCTAGGGTAATGTTAATTGAGGTCACTCACCACCAAAGCTTGGGATTCTGGCTGTCTTCTTGTTGGTGACCTGGTGGGACACAGTGAATCCGATTGTAGTCACGGTGTCAGATGACTTCATTTACTCAGGAGACTGGTCCTGACTTTAGGTGATAGTTAAATTGTGGCTCATGTGTACACTTACAGAAATCTCACAACAGCCATCCAGGTTGATCACTGGATTGAATTTTGCATCTTTCAGTATTAAGATGTGAAAGTATCTTTTCCTCTTAAGCTCTATATTCATTTTCTTAAAACCATGTAATTGTTTGATATTTTAAGATACCTGGTTTAGTTTTAGATTTAACTCATGTTTTTGTCTCATGTATGGTCTCTCCTGAAAGTCTGGCAGTATCTGTTAAATTTTAAAATATATATTCTTATAACCTACTTTTGTAAATATTACCAATAAAGGAATCAGCGCTGTACATAGATTTCTGTACAGTATATTTTTTGTAGTGTTAATTGTGGCAAATATGCTGGAACAACCTAACTCTATGGGGGACGGTTCAATAAATTGTATATTTTATTTTGATTTACTTGGTTAATTCACATCTAAAAACGTATATGAATAAATTGTATTTTAAAACAGTCAACACTTAATATTCATTTATTTATAACAAATACTCGAGTGAATCAGTCACTAAAACAGACAAAAATCCCTTTTCTCATGGCGCTTACAGACAAAAACAACACTGGCTAAGTAGTACATTAGAATGTGACGAGTGCTGTAAAAAAGGAGGGGGAGGAGAGGGGTGCTGGCGTTTTCAGGGGTACGTGTTCAGGGATATTAAGTGGGGGACATGTTGCTGAGAAAGGGACATGTAAGCAAAGACTTGGAGCTGAGAGAGTGAGTCTTGTGGCTCCCGGGGGAAAAGCCAGTGCAGGGGACGAGGGGGAGTCTCTGAGGAGGGTAATCGGTGGTAGCAAGAATAGAAATCTCTTTTAAAGAGCGTTGATATAAAGAGGAGCAGAAAAATGAGGCAGTAGCTGGAGGAAAACCTGGGTATAGAGGATTCTTTGTCAATTTGGTGAAACAACATGGATAGTCCACTTTGAAGGACACGACACAATAAACACAGGAAAGTGGGTAGCGAGGGAAGCCTAACTCGAGCACACCGGTGACTAGCACGGAGAGGGCTGTCTGCCTGCCTGGCAGGCTCTGATGGATGTGTTGGCGAGGCCCGGCGGCCGCGCGGTGGGCCCTGGGGCCGCTCGCGAAGTTGGGATCATCAGGCCATGCAGCCTCAACGAGGCCGAGTGGCGAGCTCGGCTGGGTTCGGCCGGGGACGCCGAGGGTTGCAGGCGAGGCCTGGCAGGCCCGGAGCGCGGCCCGGTCTGGCGGGCTCTGGTGAGCGTGGCCTGGCGCGCAGGGTCTGGACGACCCGGCGCGGCCTGGCCTGGAGAGCGTGGCCTGGTCTGACGGGTACGGGCGAGCGCGGCCTGGCGGGCCTGGCGCGCAGGGTCTGGAGGACCCGGCGAGGTCTGGCCGGTAGAGCGTGGCCTGGCCTGGCGGGTACGGGCGAGCGTGGCCTGGCGGGCCCC